TAGCATGTTATTGGTTAATACTTAACGATTTGATTATTATTTGTCATTTTATTATGTTTTTATATTTTATTATTACTGTTTTCCTATAATTATTTCTTGAGTATCATTTCATTTGTCGATGTTGTTATAATCTTATTGATTCAAGTGACACTTGTTTTCATGAGTAAGAGATGAGAGAATGTCTCCATTTCAGTGTTGTGAAGCAGTATTTTTTCCATTGCTGTTGCTTGTGGTGTAATAACATTGTTGGGTTTATCCAAGCGGCAATCTCCACACACATACACTACAGCCAATTTAGTTTATTCAATTCACATATAGAGCATGTGTTTAGATTGTGGGGGAAACCGGAGCATCCAGAGGAAACTCACAAGAACATGTGAAGAACATGCAAACTCCACACTGAAATGCTACCTGACCCAGAGGAACTTGGACCAGTGAACTTCTTGCTGTAAGGCAACAGTACTTACCACTAAGCAACCTTTCAAAACTGTACATATAATATAATTATACAGGCTGATTTTAAATTTTTATAAATGAAAAATGCAACATACTTTCCCATGAGACTTGGGTTTAAGGTAAGGGTTGGGGTATAGTGATAGAAAATACAGTTTGTACAGTATAAAAACAATGAAAGCATATGGAATTTAAATAAACCTATGGAATATAAAAAACAAACATGTGCATGCAGGGATGGATTTCGTGATTTGTGGGCCTTGAGGAATTCCATCCATGGGGCCCAACAGTCCTAAAATGCACCCTTTGTAATATTATTTATTATTTTTATCACTCAATCTCATTTGCTACATATTTAAATTATTTGTTTCCTTAAAATGAATTCACAACTAAAAATAGTAAAGAAACTATTTCGTTTTTTAAAACTAAATATTTACCTAATTTGACTACTGGACTGCTCCATGATTGAGGGTGGGGGGTAAGTTTCTGCAGATGTAATAATTACAAAGTTTTATTTGATAAACCCTCACCATACAAAATATGATATAAAACGATGTTATATAATTTAAATGTATATTTTATATTCTTATGGGCACCACGAAGGCGCAGTGGATAGTACAATCGCCTCACAGCATGAAGGTCGCTGGTTTGAGCCCCGGCTGGGTCAGTTGGCATTTCTGTGAAGTTTGCATATTCTCCCGGTGTTCGCATGGTTTTGCACCGGGTATTCAGCTGGAAGGGCATCCGCTACATAAAACGTGCTGGATAAGTTAGCGGTTCATTCCGCTGTGGCGACCTTTGATAAATAAAGAAACTAAGCAGAAGATAAAATGAATGAAGTTGGTGGTTCATTGCAATGTGACAACCACTGATGAATAAAGGGACTAAGGCAATAAAAAATGAATGAATGAATAAAGTTGGCGGTTTATTCCGCAGCGGCGACCCCTGATGAATAAAGGGACTAAGCCAAAGGAAAATGAATAAATGAAGTTGGCGGTTCATTCCGCTGTGGCGACCCCTGATGAATAAAGGGACTAAGCCAAAGGAAAATCAATGAATGAAGTTATCAGTTCATTCTGCTGTGGCAACCCCTGATAAATAAAGAAACTAAGCCAAAGGAAAATGAATGAATGAATTAAGTTGGCGGTTCATTCCGCTGTGGCAACTCCTGATGAATGAAGGGACTAAGCCAAAGGAGAATAAATGAATGAATGAAGTTGGTGGTTCATTCAGCTGTGGCGACCCCTGATAAATAAAGGGACTAAGCCAAAGAAAAATAAAAGAATGAAAAAAGTTGGTGGTTCATTCAGCTGTGGCGACCCCTGATAAATTAAGGGACTAAGCCAAAGGAAAATGAATGAACGAATAAACGAATAAATGTAGTTTTACATCGACAAACATTCATGCACAAAAAACAAAACAAAAAGAGTTATGCTGACACACATAAATATATCCCACTTAGAAAAAAAATACATTTCACAATTAAAATTTTTCCCAGTAATTGTCAAGACATGTGCACACAAACTACAACATTACCAAATTTGGTCAAATACAAACTCTTTTTGGTTTCTACTTCACCTGTGTGCTTTCATCACGATCAGAACAAGCTACGAGTGGCGTCTCTCTGCGACATCTTTGAGTATATTTCCAGCACTTAAAGACGTGTCATGTAGGATGAAACCAGAAATGTGTGTGTGAAAAAGGAGGTGCTGAGATACTGAGCTCGACTTAGAATGAGGAGGAAGCATGTGTGTGTATATGTGTGTGTGAGCAGTATGAATGTAGGCTGAGTCTAGTCTTTTTTTTTCCACAGCGCCTGCAGGTCGCCTCCGGCTGGCTGCTCTCATCAAAGGCAGTTTTCTCTCTCTGAGGAGCTGAGAGACTGAGCCCCAGGCCAGCCCGGGCCTTCACAGACCTGCCTTAGGGGTGAACGGCAAACCACGGGCCTCTGCCACGCCACCGCAAGACACCGCTAATCACAGCTAGCAATGAAGCCGCTCGCGGATACATTCATACAGGAGCTACGATATGCATGCGGCCGCGCTGTAATCAACCGGGGACGAGGGGCTTGGGAATGAGGCTTTAAGTATTTAAAGTGTCGGTGTGCGCTATGTATTATTTAGTTCATGAATAAGCAAGGAAAATATGACTTATGCAGGCGCGTTGCTATCCAAATCAAGCGTCTCGTCTGTATGCTTGTATTTAGATCAATATGTTATGAGGGTTTCAGAATAAGTATAAAACTGCATTATTTATAGGCGGTGGAACAATGGTGTTCAGGTTGCTACGTACTGTTGTGTTGAGTAAGAGAGAGAAAAAATTGAGAAATAAATAAACTTTTATTCTTTAGTGTATATGCTGTATATATGTGGGGGTTATACATTTTTGTTTAAGTAATAATAAAATTAATATGTTAGGAAGGTCATGTCAAATTCTTGGTGACATTTATTTTTTGAAAATAAACATATAGATAACAACAAATATAAAGCAGCACAATGAGTACTGAAGAGCACCTATGATGAAAATCATCTTTTGTAAGCTGTTTGGACAGAACTGTGTGTAGGTACAGTGTGTCCACTGTCATACTGCAGTAAAAAGTTTCCTGACGTTAAAATAGGATTCAAATCCCTCCCATTCTGAGGCTGACCTCAACGTAGGTGTGCGGTTTACCCAACCACAGAATTGATAGACAGCTATGTATTAACTAAGGGTGCAACGGTTCAATTTACCCACGGTATATGCTTATAAAAAATGCCTGCAGAACAATTTAAAGAACAATAAACATATTTATTGGGTAACAAACACCTGGCCATGCAACAACTTCACACATATGACTGTAGATTTGCATGTTCTCTTATTATTTAAACTGAAGTTGGGCATTCTGAGATACTTACATTCGCATTTGGTGGGAACACAGCATTCTAATGCAATTTAATGAAATAAGAGAATCTAGGTTATTATATAACAATATTATATATTTAGTAAACTTTTAATTTACTTAATTATTTTAAGTTTTAAAAATGTAAAAATACAATTGATTATAATATATTTAGCTTATATAAAAATAATAAAACTATACAGACTCAACTTACAAAAATGACAAAAACTATATATATATATATATATATATATATATATATATATATATATATATATATATATATATATATATATATATATATATATATAGCTTAAAGGGGCTAATAATTTTGACCTTCAAAATGTTAAAAAAGGCTTTCTCCCGAAGAAAAAATATTATCAGAAAACTGTGAAAATGTCCTTGCTCTGTTAAACATAATTTGGGAAATATTTAAAAGAAAAATTTTAAGTGGGGCTAATAATTCTGACTTCAACTTTATATAATTTAATTTGAATATTTATGATAACTAAAAATAACTCATAAGCAAAACTACAATAGTTACTCAGGTAAACTAAAAAAGCTATTTATGTTCACGGAGGGCAGTTGGCACTTATTTTCATTATTATTGGGAATGTCCTGCACTTCATTCTTTTTGGTCTCAGCTGGCTCATGATACTTCATTTGTATTAGGAAAAAATGTAGAACTGACTCCAGTGTGCTTTTTCCTAAATTATATTTCTATCATGTCACTCTCATTGCATTAAAAAATTACTTTTAGCTGCCTTTACAGCTGCTAAAAAAATGTATGTTGGTCTGCCACTGGATCCCTCCTCATATAATGAGTACTGTAGACATCAATGGGGCCTAAAGTATCTTCGCTGGACATTATTGTTTGAAACTTTCAACAGAGAAAATACATGGAGCTGAGTCAAAAACTAGTAAGTGATGGATTATAGCTATTGATATTGACAGTTTTTTGTTTGTTTCTACCCTCTAGTGTACAGTTTTTCTGTTCATATGTACTTTATGTATCTCATGATGTAATAGTTATTTATTTGTACATTCTTAACTTCTAATCTTTGTTTGGTTTAACGTTATCCTTGTTTTTTTTTTTTTACAGCATTTTCTGGTATTATAGAACAAGTCTACCTGGGTGAGGGGTGGGGATTTAGGGTTGTTTTACGATATGGTCATATGCTGTATAATTTCTATACTAAACAAAACCTGAAATAAATAAATAAATAAATACAATTGTTCACAAAAAATAAAAATAAAATAACTAGTAAACATGAGATTTAGTAATGGTTAGAACAATAACTTATAATAACACATAAAAAATGCATATTTATCTACAGTATTCATTTTTCTTATAATATAATATTAAATAGAACAATAATTACAAAAATAAATAAAAAATGCATATTTATCTACAGTATTTATTTTTTACATTCATTCATTCATTCATTCATTCATTCATACATACATACATACATTCATTCATTCATTCATTCATTTTTACCTGCATTCAACCATAGCATTGCCAAATAGTGACCAATAGCAACACTATAGCAAGCAATAAGCAACACATTGGCAACTATACAGAACATTCATGCATTATATCCGCCAGTTTTGCAAGCATAACTCGAGCACAAGTTTTGAAATTTTAGTAAATATCCGTTGCACTGACCTGTAAACGGCTCGTTTGTCAGACTCCAGTTGGGCTTGAGGGTCAAGAGTCACGCTGACCGGAGCGGCTCCTCCTGCTGACGCTGCAGAGAGGTGCACATGCTGGCCCTTTGAGTTTTGCTGAGTAGTGCCTGTCATCTGATCAAATACATAACAGAGCAACACAATTATCTCATACAGTCGAGACTATACTACAGACAATCATATTCACTTTTAGGGTGCATTTTTAAAGTCTGACAACATAATGTAGCATTAACTGTTTATGTTGTACATTATATATTTATGTATGTATTAATGCATCTTCATGGATTATCCAGTGAGTTAATTGCTTCAACGAGCAGTACTCTACACTGTAAAGAATTTCTCTGTGCCTTAAATTATTTAGTTAAATCAAATAAACTATCCAAGTCATCTCCACTTAAATCAGACAAACCGACTAAAAATATTATGTAAAATTTTGTATAATTAAAAATTGAGGTGAAACTATTTTTTATAACTAATAAATAAAGCTAAAGTAACAAAAAACATTTGTTGTCATGACTTTTGTCATATATATTTTTTAAATGTGTATAACATTTATAAATTATACTCAAATGTTATATTAGTCTAATAACAGGAATATAAAACAAGCATAAAGCCTGTGACAAGCAGAGTAATTTAAATCTTTTATCTAAAATTGCTGACTTTCATTTTAATATCTCTCAATTTTGGATGCACATCTTACAAATCATTTGTCCGTAGATTTTTTAAAATTAACTCTTAGTTAATCCAAACATTTTCCTCTGAGTTTTGAGAGTAAATAAAGTCAAAATTAAGATTTTTTTTTTCACATTTTGGGGGCACTTTGACTTTTTGTTACAATTTTAAGTTAATTTCTCATAATTCTGAGATGTTTCTGGAAATTTGCACAGTATTTTCTACAATGTTTTTTTCCTTCTTCTTTTAGAAAGAGACTTATTAATTTTAGTTAGTCTAAAATAAACAGTTTTTCATTTTTAAAGCAATTTTTCATGCCAATATTATTAGCCCCCTTTAGAAAATTATTATTTTTCGATTGGCTACAAAACAAACCACTGTTGTCCAATGACTTTCCTAATTAACACAACTTGCCTAATTAACCCAGTTAAGCCTTTAAATTGCACTTTAAGCTGAATGCTAGTATCCTAAAATAACTATTAAAATATCATGTGCTGTCATCATGGTTAAGAGAAAATAAATCAGTTATTAGAAATTAGTTAATAAAACTTTTATGTTTAAAAAAGTATCTGTAGATTCCAACCGGTCTCATTCCTATGTTATGTGTCCCAAATTACAGAGTTTCTGGAACAAAATATTGCAACTTATTCCACACTTTGTTATGTTACAGCCTTATTCCAAAATGGATTAAATTAATTTATTTCCTCAACATTCTACACACAATACCCCATAATGACAATGTGAACAAAGATTATTTGAAATTGTTGCACATTTATTAAAAAAAAAAAAAACTGAAAAATCACATGTACACAAGTATTCACTGCTATACACACATTTTCAGATCTTTCCAGATATGTTCAATAGGATTTAGGTCGCGGCTCTGGCTGAGCCACTCAAGGACGTTCACCGAGTTGTTGTGAAGCCACTTTATTTAAATTTTGGCGGTGTTCTTTGAGTTATGGTCCTGCTGGAAGATGAACCTTCGGCCCAGTCTGAGGTCAAGAGCACTCTGAAGCAGGTTTTCATTCAGGATGTCTCTGTACATTGCTGCATTCATCTTTCCCTCTATCCTGACTAGTTTTCCAGTTCCTGCTACTGAAAAACATCCCCACAGCATGATGCTGCCACCACCATGCTTCGCTGTAGGAATGGTATTAGCCTGGTGATGAGCGGTGCCTGGTTTTCTCCAAACGTAACGCCTGGCATTCACTACAAAGAGATTAATTTTAGTCTCATCAGACCAGAGAATTTTGTTTCTTATGGTCTGACAGTTCTTCAGATGCCTTTTGGCAAATTCCAGGTGGGGACTGGCTTCAGTCTGGCCACTTTACTATACAGGCCTGATTGGTGGATTGCTGCACAGATGGTTGTCCTTCTGTAAGGTTCTCCTCTCTCCACAGAAGAACACTGGAGCTTGGTCAGAGTGACTATCGGGTTATTGATTACCTCTTTGACTAAGGCCCTTCTCCCCCGATCACTCAGCTTAGATAGCCGGCAAGTCCTGGTAGTTCCAAACATCTTCTACTTATGGACGATGGAGGCCACTGTGTTCATTGATATTTTCAGAGAAGCAGAATTTTTTCTGTAACCTTCCCCAGCCTTGTGCCTCGAGACAATCCTGTCTTGAATGTAAACAGACATTCTCAAATCATGTCCAATCAATTGAATTTACCACAGGTGACCTCCAATTAAGCTGCTGAAACATCTCAAGAATGATCAGTGGAAACCTGAGCTCAATTTAGAGCTCAGGCAAGGCTGTGCGGCAAAGGCTGTTAATACTTATGTACATGTGATTTTACAGCTTTTTCATTTTTAATAAATTTGCAACAATTTAAAAAAAAATTATGGGGTATTGTGTGTAGAATTTTGAGGAAATAAATTAATTTAATCCATTTTGGAAAAAGGCTGTAACATAAAAAAATGCGAAAAAAGTCTAGTGCTATGAATACTTTCCAGATGCACTATATATTGCATGACAAAAAAGAAAAAAGAAAATTCTAAAAAAATGGCACACATCCAGAAAAAGTTTTTAAAAAACTTCAGGCAAAACCTAGCTTTAAACAGTTTTTTCCCCTCAGCATACATATTCAAAGAGCCACATTCAATGTCTCCTAGTCTGACCATCTTGACAATGTAAGAATGCCAGAGACTGCAGCATATGGTCTCATTAAAAACAGAAATCTAATTTAAGGCACTTGACCTCTAAAATTCAACGCAGGTCACCTTCTGCAGGAAAAAAAAATAAAAAATTGCTCCACCTAGTCATCAAATAAAGCTCTGGCAGTAAAGGTGCACAGAAAAAAGTCTTGCCCTTTAGCATTGGAAAACATTGTCAGGAAGCACAAACACCCTGTTTAGGATGCATTTGTGAAACAGCACAGCTCTCCTGTTGTCTTCGTCTCTGTTTTTCTCATCTTATAAAGCAAACCCCCTCCTGTCTCCCTCCCAGAAGCCTCCCAAAAAATGGTTTAAGGGAGGAAGCTGGAAGTCTTAATCCCAGCCTCAAATAGGAAATAAATTAGCTTCTTCACACTTAACTAGCTCTCATTTGCATGTCTCCACCAGCGCGACTCAGTTTTCCCCAGTCTCTAATCCTCAGGGCGGAGGGATACAGCAGCTGGACAGACAAAAACGCTGCTCTGTGTCCCTCTGATTAACGCAGGATGGGCACAATGAAGAGCTGACATGCTAAACGCTGCAGATGCTGCTTTCTGATGTCAACAGTGTGAGACAAAAGCACGTTTTTGGAGCATAACCTGTTTTTTGTCTTTCTGACTGAGGCTTTTGGTGGTTTTAAAGAGGTTTTGGGCTGTTTTAGGAGTTTATACCAGAAAAAAAGTATATATTAAATCACTTTAAGTTATTTATTTGTGACCCAGAAGCATAAACTGTAGTCAAAAATACACTATATGGGTCAAAATATTTTTCTTTTATGCCAAAAATAATTAGAATATTAGGTAAAGATCATGTTACATAATGCTGTTTTTGTAATTATAGGTAAATATGGAAAAACTCAATTGTTCATTACAAATGTGCATTTTTGAGAGCTTTATTTTGAACAGTTTTAAAGGTGATTTGCTCATTATTTAGATTTTTTTGCACACTCAAATTTCAGATATTCAAATAGTTGTATCTCAGCTAAACATTGCCTTATCCTAACCAACCATACTTTAATGCAATGCTTATTGATGCAGCCTTTATGTAATATAGACATTTTTTGCTGCATGAAGGGTGCCACAGCGAGCAGCATCTTCCAGTAGATGCTTAGAACTTCCGATTACAGCATTTACAACTGGTAAATTTTGATCCGAAAATGGTTGTCAGTACTGTTTTAAGTGGCTTACATAGTGTTTTTGTGATCCACAACTTTGATTTTGAAAGCTTTGTGTTAAAGCTTTTTTACTTCTGTCAAATAGGGTTCAAGCGCGAGAGAAAAACGTTCTCTTAATTCAGTGTCTGCCATCAGATCAGATGCTGAAATACAGCATTAGTGTTCTCGACCTGTCAGCTGTCATACTGTACTCAGCAGCTCCTCAATGTACACACACACACACACACACACACACACACACACACACACACACACACACACACACATACAGGCATACATGGTTTATGAGGTCAATGTGACTTTTTGGTGGTTTACGGGGACATACCTTTGCCAACATCCTACGAACATAAAACTTGTGCCAAAAAATTTTATTTGAGCTACAAAAGGCAAACAACGCTTAAAAACAGCAATTTTAGTTTCACAACACACTCAAATTAACTATGTGACATTTCACAGGCTTATGGGGCCAGACAAAATCATGGTTTACAAGGTCTGTTTACATGTTACACACAAACCTAGCCCCTTCATGGTTTAAGAGGACTGATTAACACATTTTACATATCACACTATTCTGCTATTGCAGTAAGGGTGACAACAGAACAGACTCTGGCTTTCCTCAGCTAGACCCCTGCTAAACCCATCTCAGTTGCTAAGGTTCTGCCTGTCACTTCTTAAATGACAAAATCCTATTTTGCTTATAATACACTTTTGATTTAACAATTCTGTAGGCTTATTGTGTTGTATCAGTTAAACAATCTGTTTAATGTACTGTTGAACAATAACCTGAAAAAGACAGCATTTTACCATTAAAGTATGAAGAGTTAATTGTTTAAGGGCCTTTGCTCTTATTTTATAGGACAGTAGATATTTTGAAAGGCAACTTCAGATAAAAAAAAGAACATAATTGGCAAAGAACCTTCAACCATGAACAACCAGAAGCACAACTGTATGATAACATGTTCATTATTTTATTCTTTCACTTGGCCAGAACACAAATGTTCCCCTCTGTGAACTCTGTGTGGAGTTTGCATGTTCTTTGTGTTGGAGTGGGTTTCCTCCGGGTGCTCCGGTTTCCCCCACAGTCCAAAGACAAGCGGTACAGGGGATTGAA